TGTGAGAATTTAGGAGTGAAAAATCTGTGAATCCAAAACGAGGTTGTTTTATGATGTCAGGTTGTTTGTTAAACGATGAGTATGTTGTTGGATATGATTTATACTTTGTATGGGTTTGAAGTCCTATACGCAGATGCATTCGGGGTTCTTGCTCTCATTTGGCAAGTTTAATTAATGATGAGACTTGTTATTGATTTACTAATATTTGGACTTATGACGGGTTAGATTCGAATAAGCCTAAAAGGGATAGAGTTTTTCTATTATATATATAATATAATAGTGAGAAACCTAGGTTAAGAAAATAGAGAGAGTGTGCTACTGTTATTATATATTTGTAATTGCTGTAGAGCTCTTAAACTTAATATAAAATCTTTATTTGAATACTGGACGTAATTCTTTAATCGGAACGAATGAAGGTAAATCAAATGACATGAGTCCGACACCTTCTTTCTTATTGCTGTTGGATTAGAACAACACATATTTGCAAAGAAACAACAAGAATTTTGATAGTGTCTGTAAGTAAAAATCACGAAGGAAAATATCTTACTGTGTGAAACACACATTTGTCAAAGTCAAGCAATAGGGTTTCGTTAGCACCTTAGTTCCAAATAGATGATCTCAAATTCCATTAACAATATAGTATGAGTAGATAACAATTTTTTAATTTCCCAATTGCCATCACATTATAATAAAAGATATGTTTAAGTGGGATAAAAAACATCTTAGAATCTTGATTATCTATATATCTATCTAGGACCCATTAAAAAGTATATAATTATCATAAATCTAATTTTTAATTTATCACTGTCATCCTATTGTCACAATTCATTAACCCGTATAATTAGTTTAATTAATTAAACATATAAATTGTGTGTTTTTATGCAGAATGTCCTTCATAAAAACACACAATTAGGATCTGATCGGAAAAGGCCAGATCGGCACGTTACGGATCTGTGTCGTAATGCAGTTTTCCGATCAGATTCCGGCGATGGCGGCCGGAATCTGGCACTGGGGTGGTGGGGGTATTTTTGTCATTTAACAAACTTTTTATATATATGGGTGTTTAATTAAATTAGCAAACCTAAGGGGTTTTTTAGAAATTTTTAAATTTATAAAAAACTAAAATTGAAACTTTGAAGGGCATTTTAGTTTTTTCACTATTAATAAACAAAAATCACTAACAGAATATCACGGAAGGTACCTATTTATCATTTTAAAACTTTTTGGGTATCAACTTATCGTTATGGTAAATCTTGGGTATGCACAAATCGTTGTTTTTAGATTAGAGCAGCGACACGTATTTGTGAAGAAATGACCAGAATTTGGCACAGTTGTGGACGCGATTTCTATTACGGTGTTTGTCAAAAGTCAAGAAAGAAAAAGGGAAAATTCTGATAAAGTAAAAATTAATAATTGTAATGAAATTTCCACCAAACTTCTAGTAATGTTGTTGGTATGATAAAGTATAAATTAATAACAGTAAAAAATCTTATTATCATAAATCTAATTTTTAATTTATCACTTTCATCCTATTGTCACAATTCATTAACCCATATAATTAGTTTAATTAATTAAACATATAAATTGTGTGTTTTTATGCAGAATGTCCTTCATATAATATACGAATAGTTTTGTACTATCTAATGGAATCTATGTGGAAAATTTTCGAATAACACGTTATTAATAAAATATTATTATGTACATATATATAACTTAAATAGGAATAAAGGATGTGATAGAGATTAAATAGACAAAATCCTGTGGCATTTTGAGAGGAGCATTTCTTCCTTCGAAACAATTACTCAATTGAAACCGATCACTTAGGAAAGAGCAAAAAATGTTTTATGAACTCCTGAATTCCAAATTTTGTAGGTGTTAATAAGAATGACCACTAAAGGACTTATCTGATTATTAATTTTAAGGCTTTGAAAGATTAATTGAAATATGTGTAAATTAGTCGAACATCTAATTAAAAAAAAAAAAAAAAAAAATGAAAGCATGCACATAGGTATGTTGTGTAGAGCACTAAATCACGATTCACATCATCACACATGTATTGACGTGGTCGCTTAAGAAAAAGTAAAAAAGTTAATTAAGAGAGAGAGAGAGAGAGAGAGAGAAAATAGATGATGTGTGGTGGTATTTACTCTACTCTTTCGTCTAAAGTTTTCTGAGTGTGAGAATTAAGAAGAGAAAATGGAAGAAATATTGTGTGAAAGTAAAAATCAAAATAGAAAAGCATTAGTAGAACGAAAGACATATGTAATGAAAAAGTAAGAAAATAAATACGTAATTAATATAATTACTATAATATATGCCTTCTTGATATATTTAATTTTTTTTTTTTTNATATATATAATATAATAGTGAGAAACCTAGGTTAAGAAAATAGAGAGAGTGTGCTACTGTTATTATATATTTGTAATTGCTGTAGAGCTCTTAAACTTAATATAAAATCTTTATTTGAATACTGGACGTAATTCTTTAATCGGAACGAATGAAGGTAAATCAAATGACATGAGTCCGACACCTTCTTTCTTATTGCTGTTGGATTAGAACAACACATATTTGCAAAGAAACAACAAGAATTTTGATAGTGTCTGTAAGTAAAAATCACGAAGGAAAATATCTTACTGTGTGAAACACACATTTGTCAAAGTCAAGCAATAGGGTTTCGTTAGCACCTTAGTTCCAAATAGATGATCTCAAATTCCATTAACAATATAGTATGAGTAGATAACAATTTTTTAATTTCCCAATTGCCATCACATTATAATAAAAGATAAGTTTAAGTGGGATAAAAAACATCTTAGAATCTTGATTATCTATATATCTATCTAGGACCCATTAAAAAGTATATAATTATCATAAATCTAATTTTTAATTTATCACTGTCATCCTATTGTCACAATTCATTAACCCGTATAATTAGTTTAATTAATTAAACATATAAATTGTGTGTTTTTATGCAGAATGTCCTTCATAAAAACACACAATTAGGATCTGATCGGAAAAGGCCAGATCGGCACGTTACGGATCTGTGTCGTAATGCAGTTTTCCGATCAGATTCCGGCGATGGCGGCCGGAATCTGGCACTGGGGTGGTGGGGGTATTTTTGTCATTTAACAAACTTTTTATATATATGGGTGTTTAATTAAATTAGCAAACCTAAGGGGTTTTTTAGAAATTTTTAAATTTATAAAAAACTAAAATTGAAACTTTGAAGGGCATTTTAGTCTTTTCACTATTAATAAACAAAAATCACTAACAGAACATAACGGAAGGTACCTATTTGTTATTTTAAAACCTTTTGGGTATCAACTTATTGTTACGGTAAATCTTGGGTATGCACAAATCGTTGTTTTTAGATTAGAGCAGCGACACGTATTTGTGAAGAAATGACCAGAATTTGGCACAGTTGTGGACGCGATTTCTAATACGGTGTTTGTCAAAAGTCAAGAAAGAAAAAGGGAAAATTCTGATAAAGTAAAAATTAACAATTGTAATGAAATTTCCACCAAACCTCTAGTAAGGTTGTTGGTATGATAAAGTAGAAATTAATAACAGTAGAAATTAATATTGTTACTTTTTTGCCTGTGTTTGTCAAAGGCAAAAAAGTAACAATATAGCATTTAATTATCAAATTAAAAAAAAAAAAAAAAAAAAGCATGAATGATGAAAGCTGTATATAGAGTTGGTCTGCTGTATATAGAGTTGGGTGAATCACATGCAGGAAAAAGTAAAAATGTAATTCAAAAATTTGTCATAAGCCAGAGACTGAATAGTTGTTGTGTAATTTTCTCGAACTTCTTGGAAAATCAAAGACTCAGAGGGATGTGTGTGAAGTTCGGTGGTGTTCACTCTACTCTTTCCTGTATAGTTTTATTTGAAGAGTGTGAGAATTAAGGAGTGAAAAATCTTTGAATCCAAAACGATCGTATTTTATGATGTCAAATTGTTTGTTAAACGATGAGTTTGTTAGATAAATTACTCTATAACACGTTATTTGTATATTATCTGATAAAATATTATTATGTAGATATATATAGCTTAAATAGGAATAAAGATAACCAGAAAATTTAACTAAACAGCAGTTACGTTGAAAAACCTTGAGAGCCTTGGTATTAACTTTTCAGCACAAAGTTGTTGGCTAGTCTTTGTAAAGCTTTAAATGTTTTTCTCGGTCTTTACATACAATTATTGTACTCCCTCTCTGCCACAACCAGAAACAATTACATAGCATCTAGCTGTCTTCAACTTTGGTCACATCCATTATTTGTTGTCTTCCCCTACAATGAATGTGAAAAGAAGTGAGAGGTGAGGATATCTGCAAGATCATCTTAAGCAATTTACTCTCATCAATTATTCAACATGTTCATCTTAAGCAAGACTTTTTTTTTTCTTGGGAATATGTGCCCGCAACAACTGGAAGAGTATAAGAAAAATCCATGGCCCCTAAGAGAGCTCTTGTATTAACCTCATCTTACTCTCTCTCTCTCACTCTCACTCATGTGGGTTTTGTCATAAAATTCACCTGTGTTTCATTTTCGTACCCTCTAATGGAATCTACGTAGAAAATTTTCGAATAAATTACTGTATAACACGTTATTTGTATATCATCTAATAAAATATTATTATGTAGACATCATATATAGCTTAAATAGGAATAAAGGATGTGATAGAGGTTAAAAGTCTATAAAAGACGTGAGATAGTCTTGGTCTTCGTTTTTGATGGGGACAAGGGAGGGACAGAGAACAGTACATGTCTTCTAGTGTGATTTGTGAGTACAAAAAGCATTCACATTACTTGTTGGGTTGAGAATAAAAGTAATATTTAATTAATCCAATTAAAAAAAAAAAAAAAAAAAAGCATGAAAGCAGGCACATGACATGCTCGCATAGGGAAAAGTAAAAGGTATTCAAAGACTTGTCACAAAGTGGAAATTCAAAGACTGAGAGAGAATAGTTCTTGTGTAATTTCCTCAAAACTTCTTGAAAGTTGAGTGGTATTGGCTATACTCTTTCCTCTATATATATTTTTTAAAAGAGCGTGAAAATTAAGAAGAGAGAAAAATCGAAGAAATTTTGACAGAAGCATTTCTTTCTTTGAAACAATTACCCAATTGAAACTGATCACTCAAAAACACTTTCTCAATACAACTGCAGTGACACCCTCATAGCACTGTAAGTTTAATTTCTCAACAATCTTTGATTTATTAATTTTTCAACTTTTTTTGTAGTTTGCTTAAGAGTGAAACATTAAATATTTATTTTAAACAAGCTAGCTGATCATGTTTGTTTAGATTTACAAGATTTATATTAGTGGCTTCTTTTTTATTTTTTTTTCTTTTTATTATTTTCTGGAAATTGAAAATACATATTTTTGATGATTTTTGAGTGTTGACTGTGAGTTACAGTGACGGTTTGGACTTAGGGTTAGCGAGTTTGGAGTTTTGGGTTGGCTAAAAATGTTTTGCAACATTTGCGAGTTTGGACTTAAGGTTTAGAGTTGTTGTCACGGAGTTTTTTTTGACTTTGGTGGCTTTGAAGCGATTTCGACTCACGAGTTAGGCTGTTGAGTCGCGAGATTGGACTTTGTTCATCGCTGAGGCTGTTTAAAGGGCTAACATTTGCGACTGTTTCTGCTTCTAGAGGTAGTTGTCTTCTTTTGTTCTTTTTGTAGTTTAAGTTTACAACATGGATAAAAATGTGATTTTTGTGTTGTTGTTCTGTTTTATGATTGGGTTAATGCAACGAAAATTTGTTGTTGTTTTGTTTCTTTTTTATTTTTTTATTTTTATTCTCTTCTGGAAATTGAAAATACGTATAGATGGTCTGCAAGAAGTTAATTACCTTTCCAATTAATTTTTCAGGTTCTATAGAGGACGTATTGTAAACTCATCATGCAAACAGCCTCTTCATCAACATCTTCTTCTTGTCCTTGGAAATATGATGTCTTTCTAAGCTTTAGAGGTGAAGACACAAGGAAGAGCTTCATAAATCATTTGTACAATGCTTTCAAACAGAAAGGACTGCATGTTTTTAGGGATGACAAAGAACTTGAGAGAGGAAAACCGATTTCACCAGAGCTCCTTCATGCAATTGAAGAATCAAGATCTGCGGTTGTTGTTCTCTCCAAAAACTATGCATCTTCCACATGGTGTTTAGATGAACTTGTTCAAATTGTTCATTGCAAGAATATAAAATTTTTTCCAGTTTTCTATAACGTGGATCCTTCCATGGTTAGAAAACAAACAGGAGAATATGGAGAAGCCTTTGTCAAACATGAAGAAACTTTTAGAGAGGATATTGGAAAGGTGCAAACTTGGAGAGATGCTTTGACAAAGGTGGCCGATCACTCTGGATTGGACTTGAAGGATGGGTATGTGACAATTATTTCTTCTTCTTTATAGTGGAAAGCCTAGTTATCAAAATGAATTATGAAAATGATATTTATGACTTGATTGTTTAAATGCGTTAGTCATTAGTGTTGATACTACAGATTAAGCATTGAATTTCTTATTCAAACCAAGTTTTATCTTTATCAGAAATTTAAAGGTATTCATAGTTTCATACAATGAAATATTTAATTAACAAATTCTTAATTTGTAGAGACAGTATTTAATACTAAATTAATTAATGTAAAAGATAGTTAATAAAATAAGGTTTTTCATATTTCACCGAGTAATGATAGAAAATGATGGAGGCCAGTAATTAATAACTTGGTTTTTCTTAGACAAGCATGAATACTTTTATTCAATTTCCTTGTTATTGTAACTAAAACATATAGTATATAATACGAAAAGTATAGAAATATAACTACAATAGTGACTGAATGCTAAAAGTAAACCTAAACAAAAAGCAAAAATGAAAGTTTCAAGTTTCATGTGTATAAACCTATAGGTGTACGTAGATAATTTCTATGATACGCACTATATATTCATTAGTATATTCATGACTACCTAGTGTTGTAACCACAATTTTTTCTTGATATTTTCCACTCTTCAGGTATGAGTCACAACTTATTCAGGACATTTTGGAGGAAATATCAAGTAAATTAAGTTTTTCAAAACACCCAAGTGTCGAGGGCCTAGTAGGCATAGATTCACGTTTGGAAAAACTAAAGAAATTTATAAGTCCTGAGTCACATGATGTTCGTATGATTGGGATTTGTGGAACACATGATGTTCGTATGATTGGGATTTGTGGAATGGGAGGAATAGGCAAGACAACAATTGCTAGAGTTGCCTATGACTTGTTTTCTGATGAATTTGAAGGTAGTAGTTTTTTGGCTAATGTTATAGAAAATTCCAAAAAAGATCTAGTTTATGTACTAAAGATGCTTCTTTCCAACATTCTAGCTATGAAAATAGATGACATCAACATATACAATGACTTTGATGGAATAAGGATGATAAGAAGGAGGTTGTCGTGTAAGAAGGTTCTTATTGTTATAGATGATGTGAACAATCCAGAGCAATTAGAAAAAATAGCTAACAAGCGTGATTGGTTTGGCAGGGGCAGTAGGATCATAATAACATCAAGAGACAAAGGATTGTTAAACTCCCATGGAGTAGATGATGTTTATGAGGCTGAGGAATTAAATGATGATGATGCCCTCCAATTATTCATTTCAAAAGCCTTTAAGGAACAACAACCTTCAGAAAGTTTTAGCGAGCTATCCAAATGTGTTGTACAGTATGCTAGTGGTCTTCCATTAGCTCTTAAAGTTTTGGGCTCCTTTTTTTGTGGAAAAGAAATTCATGTATGCAAAGATGCATTGCAAAGACTAAAAAGAGATTGTAAGAAAGAAATACTGGAGGTACTTCAAATAGGCTTTGATGGGTTGGAAGAATCAGAGAAAAAAATATTTCTTGATATAGCATGTTTCTTTAAAGGATTTTAAAAAAAAAAAAAAAAAAAAAGCATATGATGAAAGCATCACATGGGTCTGCTGTATATGGAGTTGGGTGAATCACATGCAGAAAAGTAAAATGTAATTCAAAAATTTGTCATAAGTCAGAGACTGATAGTTGTTGTGTAATTTTCTCGAACTTCTTGGAAAATCAAAGACTCAGGGATGTGTGTGAAGTTCGGTGGTGTTCACTCTCACTCTTTCCTGTATAGTTTTATTTGAAGAGTGTGGAGAATTAAGGAGCGAAAAATCTTTGAATCCAAAACGATCGTATTTTATGATGTCAATTGTTTTAAACGGTTAGATATGTGTTATACTTTGTATGGATTTAAAGTCCTATACCCAGATGCATTCGGATCCCGCTCCCATATTTGATAAGTTTAATCATGATTTGATTGTTATGATTTATTACAATGAGAAATCTAGTTAAAAAATAGAGAGTGAGTTACCGTTTTATATTTTTAATTTGTGTAAGTTCTGATACTTAATACAAAATCTTTATTTGAATGATGGATTATCATTCTTTAATCAAAAGGAATTAAGATAAATCAAAATGTGTTATTATTTTTTTGTTTTATTTATTAGTGTGTTGGTTGTGGATTTCACAGTCATATATGACATGGGTCAACACCTTCTTTTTTATGCTGTTTGGATTAGAACAACACGTATTTGCAAAAAACACAAGAATTTTGATAGCGTGTGAAAGTAAAAATCACAAAAGAAAAGCATTAATAATTGTAATGAAATTTTGCAGAAAAAATCTTACTGTGTAAAACACGTTTTGTCAAAGTCAAGCAATAGGGTTTTAGCAGCCCCTTAATGCCAAATAGATGATACCAATTTTTAATTTTCCCACATTATAATAAAAGATATGTAATATGTTTAAGTGGGTAAAAAGCATCTTAGGATCTTGATTATCTATATATCTATCTAGGACCCATTAAAAAGTATATAATATCATAAATCCAATTTTTAATTTATCACTGTCATCTTATTGTCACAATTCATTAACCTAGGTATGGTATAGGTGTTAATAAGAATGATCATTATGGGTCATTTACTTGATTGTCAATTTTAAGACTTCGAAAAATTAATTAAGATACGATACAAATTAGTGAATCCAAACGATCTTATTGATATATTAATATTTTTTTAAAAAGAACAAACTAAAGTATTTAAATGAAGTAATAACTAATAAAATATTCAAAAATACAAATATATCTTTCATCTATACTTCAAGATATTTATTTACAAACAATTTAAACTATTCTCCTCTCTCTCTCTCATGTGGGCTTTGTCATAAGTTTGTATTGCCACCACCCGTGCACTGTACTTCATTTCATACCCCTAATGGAATCTACGTGAAAATTTTCGAATAAATTACTTATAACACGTTATTTGTATATCACTAATAAAATATTATTATGTAGACATCTATATAGCTTAAATAGGAATAAAGGATGTGAGAGGTTAAAAGTCTATAAAAGACGTGAGATAGTCTTGGTCTTGGTTTTGATGGACAAGGGAGGGACAGAGAACAGTAATGTCTTCTAGTGTGATTATGTGAGTAACAAAAGCATTCACATTACTTATTGGGTTTAGTAACATTTAATTATCAATTAAAAAAAAAAAAAAAAAGCATAAAGCAGGCACATGACATGCTCGCATAGGGAAAAGTAAAAGGTAATTCAAAGACTTGTCATAAAGTGGAAATTCAAAGACTGAGAGAGAATACCTTTGTGTAATTTCCTCAAAACTTCTTGAAAGTTGAGTATTTGCTCTACTCTTTCCTCTTATATATTTTTAAAAGAGCGTGAAAATTAAGAAGAGAGAAAAACGAAAAATTTTGACAGAAGCATTTCTTTCTTTGAAACAATTACCCAATTGAAACTGATCACTCAAAACACTTTCTCAATACAATGCAGTGCACCCTCATGCACTGTAAGTTTATTTCTCAACAATCTTTGATTTCTTAATTTTTCAACTTTTTTGTAGTTTGCTTAAGAGTGAAACATTAAATATTTATTTTAACAAGCTAGCTGATCATGTTGTTTAGATTTACAAGATTTAAATTAGGGGCTCTTTTTTTTTTTTTTTTTTTTATTATTTTCTGAATTGAAAATACATATTTTGATGATTTTTGAGTGTTGACGACTCCAATGAAAATAACCATTTGAATATTTTCCTTTTTTTCTAGTATTTTTGTGGTCCATTTCCTAATATTCATCTTTTCAAGGCATCCTTTTTATTTGTCAGGGAGGGATAAATTGTTGTTCTTTAATTACCTCCAGTACTCCTATTGAAAAGAAATTCATCAAAAATGAAAAAATGATGATGATAATCACAATCAATTGTGTACAAATGAGATTGACTCTCAAAGTGTCAAGCTTAATATATGAAGCAATTCAATGTAAAATGTGATTGTTAAGTCATATAACTTCACTTTTTTTTACCTAATATATGAACACGGTTAGATTTGGCCGTCGAGGCCGCAAAACTCTATCTGCGGTGTCGACAGCCAGATCTGGTCATAGATCTGACCTTTTCCGACCAGATCGACGCATTACGACACAGATCCGACAGGTATGTGTCGTAACGTAATTTTTCGGCCAGATTCCGACGATGGTAGCCAGAATCCGGCACTGCGAGTGACAGGGGTATTTTTGTTATTTTATAAAATTTTTATATTTTAGGGTATTTAGTTAAATTAGTAAACCTATGAGGTTTTTTAGAAATTTTTAAATTTATAAAAAACTAAAATATCAAACTTTCAAGGACATTCTAGTCATTTCACTATTATTAAACAGAAATCACTAATAGAATATGACAGAAGATATCTATTTGTCGTTTCAAAACCTTTTGAGTACTAACTTATCGTTTCGATAAATTTTAGGTATGCATAAGTCGTTTTCCCTAAAAAAAAAAAAAAAGAAGCATGAAAGCATGCACATGACATGCCGAAAAAGTAAAAAGGTAATCCAAAGACTTGTCATAAAGTGGAAATTCAAGGACTGGGAGAGAAAATAATTGATGTGTAATTTCCTAAAAACTTTCTTGGGAGTTTGGTGGTAGTTTATTTATTATTATTACTTTTTTTAAGAGTGTGAAAATTATGAAGAGAGAAAAATTGAAGAAATTTTGTGAATCTAAAATGACGCTGTTGTATGGCGTCAGATTGTTTGTTAAACGATAAGTCTTTGTCTGACACCTTCTTTCGTGTTGCTTTTAGATTAGAGCAGCGCACGTATTTGTGAAGAAATGACCAGAATTTGGCATAGCTGTGGACGCGATTTCTAATACGGTGTTTGTCAAAAGTCAAGAAAGAAAAAGGGTAAATTCTGATAAAGTAAAAATTAATAATTGTAATGAAATTTCCACCAAACCTCTAGTAAGGTTGTTGGTATGATAAAGTAGAAATTAATAACAGTAAAAAATCTTACTGTGTTTGTCAAAGGCAAAAAAGTAACAATATAGCATTTAATTATCAATTTAAAAAAAAAAAAAAAAAAAAAAGCATAATGATGAAAGCATGCACATGGGTCTGCTGTATATGGAGTTGGGTGATCACATGCAGGAAAGTAAAATGTAATTCAAAAATTTGTCATAAGTCAAAGACTGAATAGTTGTTGTGTAATTTTCTCGAACTTCTTGGAAAATCAAAGACTCAGAGGGATGTGTGTGAAGTTCGGTGGTGTTCACTCTACTCTTTCCTGTATAGTTTTATTTGAAGAGTGTGAGAATTAAGGAGCGAAAAATCTTTGAATCCAAAACGATCGTATTTTATGATGTCAAAGTGTTTGTTAAACGGTTAGATATGTTTTATACTTTGTATGGATTTAAAGTCCTATACCCAGATGCATTCGGATCCCGCTCCCATATTTGATAAGTTTAATCGTGATTTTTTGATTTGTTATTGATTTATTACAATGAAAATCTAGTTAAAAAATAGAGAGTAGTTACCGTTATTATATTTTTAATTGTTGTAGAGTTCTGATACTAATACAAATCTTTATTTGAATGATGGATATAATTCTTATCAAAAGGAATTAATAAATCAAAATGTGTTATTTATTTTTTTGTTTATTTTATACGTGTGTTGGTTGTGGATTTCAACAGTCATATATGACATGGGTCAACCCCTTCTTTTTTATGCTGTTGGATTAGAACACACGTATTTGCAAAGAAACAACAAGAATTTTGATAGCGTGTGAAAGTAAAAATCACAAAAGAAAAGCTAATAATTGTAATGAAATTTGCAGAAAAAAATCTTACTGTGTAAAACACGTTTTTGTCAAAGTCAAGCAATAGGGTTTTAGCAGCACCTTAATGCAAATAGATGATACCAATTTTTTAATTTTCCCACTTATAATAAAGATATGTAATATGTTTAAGTGGATAAAAGCATCTTAGGATCTTGATTATCTAATATCTATCTAGGACCCTTAAAAGTATATATTATCATAATCCAATTTTTAATGTATCACTGTCATCTTAGTCACAATTCATTAACCTAGGTATGGTATAGGTGTTAATAGAATGATCATTATGGGTCATTTACTTGATTGTCAATTTTAAGACTTCGAAAAATTAATTAAGATACGATACAAATTAGTAATCCAAAACGATCTTATTGTATAATTAATAATTTTTTTAAAAGAACAAACTAAAAGTATTTTAAATGAAGTAATGAACTAATAGAATAATTCAAAATACAATAATATCTTCATCTATACTTCAAGATATTTATTTACAAACAATTTAAACTATTCTCTCTCTCTCTCTCATGTGGGCTTGTCATAAGTGTTATTGCCACCACCGTCACTGTTTCATTTCATACCCTCTAATGGAATCTACGTGGAAATTTCGAATAAATTACTTATAACACGTTATTTGTATATCATCTAATAAATATTATTATGTGATAATCTATATGCTTAAATAGGAATAAAGGATGTGATAGAGGTTAAAAGTCTATAAAAGACGTGAGATAGTCTTGGTCTTGTTTTTGATGGGGACAGGGAGGGACAGAGAACAGTAATGTCTTCTAGTGTGATTATGTGAGTACAAAAAAGCATTCACATTACTTGGGTTGAGTAACATTTAATTATCAATTAAAAAAAAAAAAAAAAGCATGAAAGCAGGCACATGACATGCTCGCATAGGGAAAAGTAAAAGTAATTCAAAACTTGTCATAAAGTGAAATTCAAAGACTGGAGAGAATATCCTTTGTGTAATTTCCTCAAAACTTCTTGAAAGTTGAGTGGTATTTGCTTACTCTTCCTCTCTATATATTTTTTAAAAGAGCGTGAAAATTAAGAAGAGAGAAAATCGAAGAAATTTTGACAGAAGCATTTCTTTCTTTGAAACAATTACCCAATTGAAACTGATCACTCAAAAACACTTTCTCAATACAATGCAGTGCCACCCTCATAGCACTGTAAGTTTAATTTCTCAACAATCTTTGATTTCTTAATTTTCAACTTTTTTTTAGTTGCTTAAGAGTGAAACATTAAATAATTTTAACAAGCTAGCTGATCATGTTTGTTTAGATTTACAAGATTTAATTAGTGGCTCTTTTTTTTTTTTTTTTCTTTTTTATTATTTTCTGGAAATTGAAAATACATATTTTGATGATTTTTGAGTGTTGACGGTGAGTTACAGTGACGGTTGGACTTAGGTTGGCGAGTTTGGATTTTGGGTTGGTAAAAATTTGGTGCAACAAGGTTTAGAGTTGTTGTCACGGAGTTTTTGACTTTGGGGCTTTGAAGCGATTTCACTCACGAGTTAGGCTGTTGAGTCGCGAGATTGGACTTTGTTATTGCTGAGGCTGTTTAAGAGAGGGCTACATTTGCGACTTTTCGCTTCTGGAGGTAGTTGCTTCTTTTTTCTTTTGTTTTAAGTTACACATGGATAAAAATGTGATTTTTGTGTTGTTGTCTGTTTTTGATTGGGTTATGCACAGAAAATTGTGTTTTTTTTTGTTTTTTTTTTTTTTATTTTTATTCTCTTCTGGAAATTGAAAATACTATAGATGGTCTGCAAGAAGTTAATTACCTTTCCAATTAATTTTCAGGTTCTTAGAGGACGTATTGTAAACTCATCATGCAAACAGCCTCTTCATCAACATCTTCTTCTTGTCTTGGAAATTGATGTCTTTCTAAGCTTTAGAGGTGAAGACACAAGGAAGAGCTTCATAGTCATTTGTACTGCTTTCAAACAGAAAGGACTGCATGTTTTTAGGGATGACAAGAACTTGAGAGAGGAAAACCGTTTATCACCAGAGCTCCTTCATGCAATTGAAGAATCAAGATTGCGGTTGTTGTTTCTCCAAACTGCATCTTCCCATGGTGTTTAGATGAACTTGTTCAAATTGTTCATTGCAAGAATTAAAAATTTTTCCAGTTTTCTATAACGTGGATCCTTCCATGGTTAGAAAACAAACAGGAGAATATGGAGAAGCCTTTCAAACATGAAAACTTTAGAGAGGATATTGAAGTGCAAACTTGGAGAGATGCTTGACAAAGGTGGCCGATCACTCTGGATTGACTTGAAGGATGGGTATGTGACAATTTTTCTTCTTCTTTATAGTGGAAAGCCTAGTTATCAAAATGAATTATGAAAATGATATTTATGACTTGATTGTTTAAATGCGTTCGTCATTAGTGTTGATACTACAGATTAAGCATTGAATTTCTTATTCAAACCAAGTTTTATCTTTATCAGAAATTTAAGGTATTCATAGTTTCATACAATGAATATTTAATTAAAATTTTAATTTGTAGAGACAGTATTTATAAATTAATTAATGTAAAGATAATTAAAAAATAGTTTTCATATTTCACCGAGTAATGATAGAAAATGAGGAGGCCAGTATTAATAACTTGGTTTTTCTTAGACAACCATGAATACTTTTATTCAATTTCCTTGTTATTGTAACTAAAACATATAGTATATAATACGAAAAGTATAGAAATATAACACAATAGTGACTGAATGCTAAAAGTAAACCTAAAAAAAGCAAAAATGAAAGTTTCATGTGTATAAACCTATAGGTGTCGTAGATAATTTCTATGATACGCACTATATATTCATTAGTATATCATGACTACCTAGTGTTGTAACCAACATTTTTTCTTGATATTTTCCACTCTTCAGGTTGAGTCACAACTTATTCAGACATTTTGAAGGAAATTCAAGTAAATTAAGTTTTTCAAAACACCCAAGTGTCGAGGGCTAGTAGGCTAGATTCACGTTTGGAAAAACTAAAAAATTTATAAGTCCTGAGTCACATGATCGATATGATTCTGATGTCGTATGATTGGGATTGTGGAATGGGGGGAATAGGCAGACAACAATGCTAGAGTTGCCTATGACTTTTTTCTGATGAATTTGAAGGTAGTAGTTTTTTGGCTAATGTTAAGAAAATTCCAAAAAGAAGCTTTTATGTACAAAGATGCTTCTTTCCAACATTCTAGCTATGAAAATAGATGACATCAACATATACATGACTTTGATGGAAATGATGATAGAGAGTTGTCGTGTAAGAAGGTTCTTATTGTTATAGATGATGTGAACAATCCAGAGCAATTAGAAAAATAGCTAACAAGCTGATTGGTTTGGCAGGGGCAGTAGGATCATAAAACATCAAGAGACAAAGGATTGTTAACTCCCATGAGTAGATGATGTTTATGAGGCAGATTAAATGATGATGATGCCCTCCAATTATTCATTTCAAAAGCCTTAAGAACAACAACCTTCAGAAAGATTGCGATATCCAAATGTGTTGTACATATGCTAGTGGTCTTCCAAGCTCTTAAAGTTTTGGGCTCCTTTTTTGTGGAAAAGAAGTTCATGTATGAAAGAGCATTGCAAAGACTAAAAAGAGATTGTAAGAAAGAAATACTGGAGGTACTTCAAATAGGCTTTGATGGGTTGGAAGAATCAGAGAAAAAAATATTCTTGATATAGCATGTTTCTTTAAAGAAAGATATAGTTATGTGACAAGAATTCTTGAAGTTGTGATTTTTCTCCAATTGTTGGAATAGATGTTCTAATCGATAAATCGCTCATAATTATTTCATAACAATACATTGGGGATGCACGATTTGTTACAACAAATGGGTCAACAAATTTCAAGAGAGAGTGCCCGGAAGCCTGGAAAGCAGTAGATTGTGGATGGAAGCAGACATTCGTCTGTATTGACAAAAACACGGTAACATTCAATTTTGTTATAATCATGTGCACATTTTCATCATCATTTGCTTTAAACTAGTTAAATATCTAGTAGCAATTGTTAGCACTGTAGTTAGCCTCTCCAGAGTACACATGCATGTTTAATTTTCGTTTTCTTTTTTAATTATTTTCTATATTTGTTGACCAATTTGTAGACCAATTGAGCATGTTAAAGTCTCTTGTTCCTCAAAAGCACTTTTATTTCCAAAATTATCTTTTTGTTTGTAGTTAATTTTGTTTCTCCTTAGTTTAGATATCTATGATATACATGACATACTAACAAAGAATTAACGATAGGCTTCTTTACTTAACAAATATATTATGAAACAAAACATTTGTACATTTATTAGAATAGTAATATCTATAATTTAAAAAAAACGTAATTATTCTTATTATTTTGAAAAAGAATAGGAAAAAAATCAATTAAATATATATTTTAAAAATTAATGAATGTTTTAATATCATTTTATGAAAACAAATTTCTAAATATGTAATAAGTATTCTATTTATTTTTGTGAAAATGACGGAAACATATATTTAAATTAAAAAAATATAAAAAACCTATAAAATATAAAATGACGGAAACATATGTTTAACAAATTTCTAAATATGTAAATAAAATACTTCTTTTAGATTATATTAAAATTTAATAGCAAACTTATAAATTGTTGTGTTTTACTTCTTATCTATATAGATAAATTCATGTGTTATATGTACTTCTATATGCTGTGTACTTCTGCTTCTCTCTCTCTCTCTCTTTGTTTTTGTTTTTTCCTTTATTTCAAGGGAACTGAAGTTGTTGAAAGTATAAAACTCGATTTTTCCAAGAAAATCCGTTGTGCTAAAGCATTTTAAAATGATAATCTAAGATTCCTCAAGATCCGCAGGTTCAATTTCTAGAAGGCTTGATTACCTTCCCACAACTTGCATTTACTTGATTGGAAAGGATATCCTTTAAAATCCTTACCACCAAATTTGCAATTGGACAAAATTATTGAGCTGAAAATGGATCAGAGCCGCATTCAACAATTGCAGCATGGAATAACTGTAAGATTAATTCAATTACACTTTCCTATTTTAATTTTTATGGGTAAAATAACTATATATAGAATATTTTATGCTTTTTATTGTTTAATAAATATGGAAAATTAAGACATCCCACATCTTTGTCTAACTTTTTTTTTTTTTTTTTTTTCTTTTAACAGCCTTTCAACAATTTAGAATCCATCAGTTTTGAAAAATGTAAGTACCTAATCAAAACACCAGATTTCACATTTGCCAAATCTAAAAACGGTGATTCTTGAAGGATGTACAATGTTGAGTGAGATTCACCCGTCTTTGTTGGTTCACAAAAAGATTACTTATTTGAATATGGAATCTTGTGCAAGTCTTATAACTCTACCAAACCAGATTCATATGGAATCTCTAGAAGAACTTAGTCTATCTTTTTGCTACAAACTGGAGAAGTTTCCAGAGATTATAGGAAGTATGGATTGTCTATATAGCCTTTATTTAGACTCAACTGTTATTAAAGTACTGCCAATTTCAATTGAACTTTTGAGTGGACTTGAATATTTTAGTTTGAAATACTGTGAAAATCTTGTGAGTCTTCCAGTCACTATAAATGGTTTGAAATCTCTTCAACTATTTATACTTTCTGGATGCTCCAAACTTAATAACTTGCCAGAGACTTTGGGGCAACTTGAAAAGCTAGATGAACTTGATTTAAGCGGAACTGCGATAAGACAATCAATGGCGTCCATTTCTCTTATGAAGAATCTTACAGAGTTAGATTTTAGTGGATGTAAGGTTCACTCAAAAGTTCAATTGCCCACTTTGTCAGGTTTTTACGGATCTTTAACAAGATTAAATCTCGTTGACTGCAATATGGAGGAAGGGGATATTCCTAATGACTTTTTCGATAGCTTTTCTTCATTAACGTGGTTAGGTCTAAGCAAAAACAATTTTGTTTCACTACCTGGAAGCATCAATCATCTTTCTAAGCTTGAATTTCTTCTCTTGGACGGTTGTAAGAGACTTCGATCTTTACCAGAACTTCCATCCAACGTAATATCTATTTACGTAGATGATTGTGTTGCACTGGAAACAACATCAAATGCATTAAGGTTATGCTATTCCACGTTGTCAGAATTTTCATGTTTAAACTGCTTGAAATTGATCTGCTGCAACAATCTGGCATCTTCAATGCCCAAAGAATTCCTTAAGGTCAGTGTCTTTCTCTTTCTCCCTCTTCATCTTTTGAGTTAAACATTATTGTACAACTTTTCTTTCTTTTGCTGAGTGCAGGCTATGGCAAAGCCCAAAGAAAGACTTCGGTTTGAGCCGATTAATCAATTTGGGATGGTTATTCCTGGAGGTGAAATTCCAGAGTGGTTCCAACATCAGAGTGAGACTTCTTCAATTAAAATAGAAAGGCCTCTAGATTCTTGTGATAACAAGATGGTGGGATATGCTGTCTGCTGTGTTTTTTATGTCCATGAGAGTCAGTGTATCGCTCTTTTACGGATTAGTTGCAGAGTGACCAGTATCGTTTTTGCTAATGAACCTGCGATTTATTTTGAAGACAATTGCCGCAAGACTATGTCAGACCATCTTTGGCTGTTCTATATTTCGGCTAAAGAACTCAATCAAGATTTTATTGAGCTTTCATTTGCACAAAATTATCCAGGATTAGAGCTGAAGAAGTGTGGGATACATCCAGTATATAAGAAAGAATTAAAAGAGTTGAAGCCAAGGGCCAAGAAATCCAGTAGCTCTAGTTTTTGGAATTCATATGAGTTGGATGAAGATTTTCTTGGATCAACGGCGGATGTTGACTATGATGGGGTAGAAGACGAAGATGAGAGTTATTTTTCAGCTGATGACGAACTACCAAAACCTAAAAGATTGAGGAGCTCATAAGTTGACGTGTGGTAATAATTTTTTGTTATGGGCTGTTGTGAACTTTCTGTTTTTTGCATTGGGCTTTGCTATAACATAACCTATAATATATGGATTATTTGCCATGGAGAGGCGTGGGACTCCTTATTCCAAGTGGAGACAATTTTTTTTTTTTCTCTTTTTATACTGTTAAACAAATTAATAATTAATAATTAAAATATATGGATATTATTTATATTTTCTTAAATAATTTCTGGATTTAAAAATAATATTATTAAATATTTTCAATTGATTTTTGTATATTTAATTTAATTTTATATTTCAAATTATAATATTATATTGAATGATTAAAAAAAAAAAAAATTCATGGTAGGAAAATAATTATTTATTGGGTCAAGATATTGTAACTTAATTTTTTAAATGTTAGTGTATCAGTATACAAATTAGTATGAATAAAAATCTTGTTAACTGCTATTTACTTATTTTTATTTATGAACGTAATAACAATAAAATTAAAAGTAAATAAGAAACAATCCCTAAGGTTCTCATTGTGAAATTCTTTAAAAAAAAAAAAAAAAAAAAAAAAAAGGAGGCTATTTTAGAATTTTTCACCTAAAGCTCGACACTGATGGAAAATCATTATTTTACCGCTTTAAACCAAATCTCTCTTCATGGATCTATTATTTTAAAAGTTATTGCAATTTAAAAACATTTTGTAATAGAAAATTATAAACTTATTCAATGATGGGTCCGGCCTATCAAAAAAGCTAATTACAAGCCCACGTTTAAGGCCCAATAAAAAGGCAACACTATCAGCCCAATGCAAGATTGATACTTTAAGTTTTGATTTATTTGCTTATTTTAAAAAGAAAAAAATATAAAGATAAAAATTAGGGTGAAACACCTTACTAATAAATATGACCAAAACATATAAGATATATGCACACATTTATCACAATCTAGACCAAATTAAGTAGATATTAGGTGTGATATTTCATAACACTTCGATAGAAGAGTAAAATGTTAGTTAAATACTATTATGAGTCTTTAAAATTTCAAAAACGTGTTTAGGGTTGAATCCCAAAAGCAAAATCTGAAGGAAAAAAATCTAAAGCGCATAATATCTAGCAACTCTCATGAATTTCCAAATATTACAGATGGGTGAGTAAGAAACAAATTAAAACATACAAACTATAGATTAATTATACTGTCGTAAGAAACAAACTACAAACTATAGCTTAGCTAATAAATAGATTCTAACAACCACAATATTAATTACAAAAAACCAATGTTCTAAAAGTCGGATTGGACCGGTCGATCAAACCGGGAACTGGTAGTCTCTCTGGTCGGATTTAGGTTTCAAGGGATTCTTGTTATATTTTAAAACTGCAGGGACTAATGAACTAGGGTTGTTTTTACAATATTTCAAAACTTTAGGGACTAATTGAATTTTTTGGGCATTTTAAAAAATACGTATTCATTGTCTTTTATCATATCAATCAAATTTTAACTAATCATTATCATTTTAATGGATAAATTCTTTTATATAAATGAAAAATTAAGAAAATGAGAAGTTGGATAGAAAAATTAGTTAATTAAAAAAAAAAAAGAGTTTCCAATAAATTTATAAACTGATAAAGAGATGTAGACTTAAATAAAAATTTTTATTTATAAAAATTAACTAACAATTATATTTCGTATAACATTTAAAAAAAAAAGCCTATTTTAGAATTTTTCACCTAAAGCCCCAAATTTCCTGGAACTGACACTGGTGGAAAATCATTATTTTACAGCTTTAAACCAAATCTTCCTTCATTGGTCTGTTGATCTAAAACTTACTGCAATTTGAAAACATTTTGTAATAGAAAATTAGAAACTTATCCAATAATGGGACCGGCCTATTTAAGGCCCAATGAAAAGGCAACCCTATCAGGCCAACCCATTTTTCCTACATTACATTTTCAAGATTGATTCTTCAAATTTTGATTGATTTGCTTATTTTAAAAAGAAAAAATAAAAAGATAAATATTAGTAATAAAGACAACCAAAACATATGAGATTATATGCAAGTATTTTAAACTCAATATATGCAAGAATACATTTATAACAGTCTAGACCGAATTAAGTAGATACCATGTGTGATATTTCATAGCACTTTAATAGAAGAGTAAAATGTTAGTTAAATATTATATGAGTTTTTAAACTATCAAAACGTATTTCAGGTTGAATCCCAAAAACAAAATCCTGAGGACAAAAATCCCAAAAGAAACTTTTATGAATTTCCAAATACGACAAATGGATGACTAAGAAACAAATTAAAACTTACAAACTACAAACTATAGCTTAGCTAATAAATAGATTCTAACAACCGCAATAATAACAAATAGCAATATTAATAACAAAAAACTATGTCTTAGTTAAATAGATTCTAACAACTGCAGTAGACGATTACAATAATAATAAATGGTATGTGATCTTTTAACACAATTTTATTTAAATTAGGATACAAATTCCAACCATGGATATTTTTTTATCCAATAAATGTGAGAAGAATTTGGAGATAGATCTAATACAATTAAAGAGTAGAAAAATGATAATACAATTGAAAGAATGCTTGAATAACAACCACTTGTTTCCCAACATTTTGTCCACTAAATAGACTAACAAGAGCAGCATGAGCATTTCAAGACCTTCAGCAACGTCCTAAAGATAAACAATCTTCCCTTCTCGCATCAAAGGCAGCACAACCTCCAAAAACTTTGCATATTAATAGGTGGCGAAAAATAGTAGTCCAAGAGGGAAAAATATAATTGCAAATTAACAAAGCAATAGATGAACCCTTTTTGATGTGATATGGAATGCTGAATTTACTCCCATTCAGAGATATCATACACATGCCTAAATGTAAATAAGGCTAATTACTGATTTTCTATAATTGATTGATTTCCATTCATTATTGTGTAGTAATTACATTTGATTACATTCCTTATATTTACTCACAGATTATTGTATAAATACATGGTTATAAAGCTATAATGAAATATACAATAGTTCTCTTCTCTCTTCTTCCTTGGCATTCTCTAGCAACTTGATTCCATCTCTTGTCTCTTCCAATTTGGTTTCTGACATGGTATTAGAGCCCATGTTCAATTGAGCTGAATGCTTGACCAACGGGTGAGGAGTTTGAGCCAGCAACTATCTCTATCAACATGTATGACTCAACATATGGGCTTGACTGTGAGAGGGAGTGTTGGAGTCTCACACCGATTAGGCACGCTCAAACCTTTTGGTTTATAAGAGAGGGCAATCCTCCCATTCAACAAGGCCTTATTGGGTAAGGAGTCAGACCCACCTTAAATTCTATCATGGTATAAGAGCAAGCAACCTAGTCCAGCTTCTGCCAAACAATCCTCTCAAGCAAAATTTTCCAAAACCTACAAAACAAAGGCACTCGGATTAGTTTATCTCTCTTCTCAAAAAACCACTCAATTTACAGATTGTAATTGAATGGATTCAACCAACACACCACCCACACTAGAACACAGTATCAACAATCCAGTGTCCACAACCACAAATGAGCTCATAACACAACACTTAGACCAGGTCCCTCTCCAAACTAGTACACCTTGCCAAGATCCAATCACTGGATCATACCCAAATTTAGGCCCACATCAACACACAAACCAAACCGGTTCAAACCCATACGGGTTCATGGGTCAAAATGTTAACTCATCAGGTAAAAATCCCTACTCAATATTCCAAATTGTCCCAACCACCAGCAACCGACCAGAACTAAGTGATCCCCTTTACTCAACGGTCTCCGATGGATCTGAAATTGTCCTTGTCAAGCAACCACTCACGGGATCCACCAATTATGCAACATGGGCTAGAGATTTTTGGTGAGCGTTAATCACAAAGGACAAAGAAGGGTTCATCGATGTCACTCTTCCTAAACTAGTGGACAATACCCTTCTCAAATACTAGAATCGGTTCAACACACTCGTTCGTGCATGGATCAGCAACTCCCTGGCCCAAGAGATTGCCGCTAGCCTTCCACAAATGGAGAATGCTCAAGAGATGTGGAACAATATCAGGGAGATGTACGACCAACTTGACCTTGCAAAGCTTTTCACTTTGGCAAAGTCTGGCCGACATCAAGCAAAACTATCCCTGTCACAACTTATTTCAATCGCCTTTCGGCAATTTGGAATGAATTGGATGTCGTCGCAAAACCGATTGAGGCACCAACATCAATTCTTCAACAGATCCAAAAGGTAAAAGATCAAAACCGTTTAATACATTTCCTAATGGGTTTAAACGAAAGTTTTTTTTTTCATTTAGAACACAGATGTTAGCAACATTGCTGTCGCCATTTCTCCGGCAAACTTATCAGTTGGTCGTTCAAGATGAGAGTCAAAGGCTAACCACCCAAGACTATCACCATGGTATTGCACCCATGGCTTTCACCATCACTCCACAAGGATGGCACTAGTAGCAGACGAGTTTAACATGTAATAAGAAAAGAGAAATGGGGTAAGGGCAACGATGAAGAGAGGCTAGGGTTTTCTAGGGGAGAAAGAAAGAATTTATATGAAGGCCTGAACGGTTCAGATCAGTCCATTCAATCTAATAGCCAAAAATCCTCAGCCCAATTTCACCACACAATGGGCCTATTTTTCATCAGCCTAATGGCCATTATTCAAGCAATGGATCCACTGATGGATCTAATGGGCCAGGATCCTCCAAATCTGGGAAATGGGGCAAATTATGGTGTGATCATTGCCAAAAAAGAAATCACACCCATGCTACTTGTTGGAGACTACACGGACGCCCTCAAAATCAAAATAGTGGGAATTCGATGGCAAATCAAGTGGTTCAAAATTCTGGAAATGGGAATTCAACACCCATAATTAGCTTGGATCAATACCAATAGATACTCCTCAATCAAATTCCTCAAGCAAATACGATATCCTATGCAAGTACATCTTATTGTTTTAATTTTATCAAAAGTGATATTTGGATAATTGATTCAGGAGCTAGTGATCACATTGTCTGTAATCCCAAACACTTTTTCTCACACATCCACAAAATCATCTACCTCTGTTCGTATGCCTAATGGGACCATCGCCTCAGCCACACAACTAGGAACCGTC